CTTCGTCTCCGGCCGTGAAGGTACGCCGGAGACGAATGGGGTGGCCGGAAGTTTGTTTAAAAAAAAAAAAATTAATAAAATTATTTTATAAACAAACAACAATAACCATTTAAAAAAAAACAATAACCATTTAATGTATTAGCTAGTCACTCCATTTTTCATGTTCAACTTCACAGTTCACACAATATAATCTCTTCAAAAAAAAATCTATTTTTAAAGAATTGTCCTTTTTTTTTCCTTATGAAATACCACAATATTTAAGTTAATTAGTTGGATAGGGGTTGGAGTAATAAATAATGTTTGAGTTTTGGGTAAAGAAGAAAAGAGTGAATGCTTCTTCAAGAAAAAAAGTGAATGCGTGTAGTAGTGCTTTTAGGGTAGGAAGAGGGTGAATTAATTCTTTTGCTTTTGAGAAAAGGGGGTGAATTGATGTGTGATGCAGAGAGTGAAAAGCTGAGGTGAGGTGAAAGGCTGAGATGACTAGATGAGGTGTATTGACGGGAGAGAACTTGAGGAGAGAGAATCGGTGATTGGAGTGCGATTTTCTCTCTCCTCATACAACTCAGCATTTCACTTTCTCTCTCTCATAAAACGGTGATGGGATGAATACATTACACATTTTCATCCAACTCTACCTGACATGCACAATATTGTCTCTCCCCTCTCTCATATGCACATTCTAAAAATCATTTATAACCCAAAATAAATTTAAGCCCAACTAAAGTGTTACTGAAAGCAATTTTAATTATGGCTTACCAACTGTGGCAGTTCGATCGGTGGTGTTTCCGCCACCAACGCTCCAATTGCCGGTGATTATAGTTTTTTTCATTCCGTCCCCTATTAACATTATGTTTGACAGATGAATCCGCACGTATACAAATAAGCATTAGCGTGGGCCATTTTCAATAGACAGGATAATTGCTAATAGACAGGATATAATTGCTAAGTTCTGCTAGTTAGGGTGTCCAGGTACTGGACTTTGCAGCATTTATAAGTATGTTTAAGGGTGAATTTGTATGAATTGAGAGGTAGATCAATCATGCGTATTGAATTGTTGGGAGGGTGGGAGGGTGAATTTGTATGAATTGAGGTAGATTAATCATGCAGTGTGGGAGAGTGGGGTTTTAGTACCGATCATGTCTGCCGTGTGGGAGCCCGACTAATCCCAGTTCTTTTAATTGTATCTGAGTTATCCCAAAATTCTCCCCACGAAGAGAGCTCATTTGTCCCTTGAACTATCCTATTAGGTTTTCTATTTTGTCACTATCACACTATTTTTATTTTTCATGGTAGGTACTAATTCATATTTAGCATGATCAACCTACATGAGTTATGAGAATAATCCGAATTTGACTCAGACACTCATTAATAACCTTTAATTTGCATGTAATAGTTCGGAATATTTCAACCACTAAGGATGTATAAGGAAGCACTAAGTAAACTTTACTCTTGTATAATAGCTCAAAATATTATTGTACTACTTAACAAAGTGTGTGGATACATTAAGTAAGCTTTACTCTTGTGTAATATGCCGGAATATTTCAACGAGCAACTATATAATGGTGTGCAAGGATACACAAGTACATTCTAATCTTGTGTAATTGTAAACATTATGTTCATAATTTTGTCATAACAAATCAACATATATTTATTAAATAACAAAACGTTATAAATAAATGAACCTCCATTTATTGTTTAAATATATGAAATTTAATAATATGTTATTAAAAATAAAATTTAATAATATTTATATATAGTTTTTAATAACATAGCATAATTTTAATTTTAATATTTTAAATATTTAATTTGTGCGTCGTACAGGTAACATATTAGTATATTTAATGAACAACTAAAATGATGGAGTTAATTAAGAAGTTGATTTAAAATGATGGAGTTTAGTATATTTATATTGTAAAGGGTAAACTTTCACAGGTCGTTCGAGGCTCAAACTCACAACCTTCCAAATGGAAGTCCAACCCGAGTACCATTAGACCACATAGTTCTGGATGTAGTTTAGTTAATTCAATTGTAATTCAGTAAAAGCCTCAATTACATTGTTTGGTTTGATGAAATTGTAATTTCTTTCTTTTGTTGAATTGTAATTCATGGGTGTACCCCATGAATTACAATTCAATGCTCGGGAAAAGGGGAAAATATATGAAATGAGTCAAATGACACAAATGTCCTTGTTGATTGTTATTATTATTATTACAAAATGACATTTTAATCTTTATAATACTTTTTTTCTTCTCATTTTAAATAATTTTATTTCTTCCTACAAAACAATGTAATTTCTCATTTTAAATAATTTTATTCCTTCCTACAAAACAATGTAATTTGAATTCCGACATTATTACTGTTAAATAGTTACAAACATAAGTTTATACGACACGTGACGTTGGATATGCCATGATGCCATGACAAAAATAAGTAGAGATTCAAACATAAGTTTATACGACACGTGACGTTGGATATGCCATGATGCCATGACAAAAATAAGTAGAGATTCAAACCCAAGATCTCTTGGATAGGGAAAAAAGCCTTCACCACCAAGTTACATACCAATCTTGATACAAGATAGTTAAAATTAGTAATAAAGACTATTTTCTGGTCACTAAACTCATCATCATTAGCAACTTAAATAGTAAGTCAAATATTCATTAATTCATTAATCACATAAAATCTTAAATATCATTGCAATGTACTAATTTTAAAGAAGTCACCAATTTTTTATTATCTAAAAATGCATGTACCCAAATTGTAGTAAGCAATAATATACTAATAAAAAATAATTCATGAATCAAATGAGTAATACACTGTAAGTCTGTAATTTTGACGTAAAGAGAAAGAAGATAGAAGGTAGAATTTCTTCGTACCCTCTAGGAATATATTTTTTCATTTTTATACTTTAGTACTTCAGCCGAAAATGTGTTATTAGATATTTTTAACAATTCAACAAATAAATAAATTCATTTTACAATTGCTCACAATGCATTTTTATACCTTGAAAATGTTGTATAATTTTTTCAACAATCATTCATCAAATTATATATCTCATTCGGTTGTGCAATATATTATTCACTATTTTTATTGTTGAAAAAACTCTTTCAACACTTGCAAGCAACACTAATAATATTAAAGCTAATTTCAAAAAAAAAAATTAAAACTAATTTTACAAGTAAAAAAACTAATGAAAAATTGAGTAACTTTAAATTAGGATGAAGGGTTTATGGAATTTAAATTAGAATTAAGGGTACTTTTCTGAGTAAAAATGGAACTCGAATATGAAATAATCTTATAGTATGTCCTTGATATTGAATACTGGATGAGAAAATAAAATAAAATAATTTTGTGTATTATTATGGCTATACACTTGAGTTTTGCTCTTCTAAGAATAACCATTTTCCGGCGACGGCATAGAACGTGAAAATCCCGGTGACCGGCGCTTGGAGCAACACCGTAGCCAACGAGGTGAGGAAAATTAATCTGAGCCTTTGAGCCACGAATTTCAAAAGCCGCCTTTCCTCCTCGGGTCCCGAATCTCCGCCGCGAACTTCCCCTGCCGCCGCCAATCCTGATGAGCCCCCGCTCTCCGTCGCCCCTACCGGTCCCGTACAATACGGCGTCACAGCCGACAACATTTCCGATACATCGGAATCTCCCAGAAGGCGTTCGCCGAGGAAAAGATCAATGTCGTCGGACATAGTTTCTTCATACATTTCTGGGTTCAGAACTTAAGCTGCCATGAGGAAAAGAAAGAACAAGAACAGAGGAAACTAGCTAGCTCTTGGATAAGAATTGAAGAAAAACAGAAAACCAGTGATTGAGGATGTGAGAAAACTAGTTCCATAACTATGTACGGAGTAATATTATTTTTGAAATGCATTTAATATTACGTAATATTTAATTTTAATACTTTGTATTAAAGGTTTATTATTTTAACTAATTAAGAGTTTATTATTATTTAACTAATTACTCATTTTAAATATCTACCATATGCATAAATTGAATATATTTCAGATATATACGGTATAAAGTCTTTTTACATTAGTAGTTTACTATACAATCATGTAAATAAAAAGCAAAAAATTCATATTTAGTTCTTATTAATATATATGCAATATGCACTTGCATATATTGAAAAAGAAGTATATAAATTTAATAAAATATATTTTATTGGTAGTTTCATTTTTTAAAAATGGAATATTGACCAACTATTTCATATAAGCACTTAAATATGTTTCATTCAAGTATAATACAAGTAGAATAGGACCAAAAATTCTAGCAATCTTATAACAAAAATAAAAAAATAAAAATCATTATCATAGCTACATAGCCAAAGTGATTAAAAATGAAGTCTCAACCAAACTCCTATAACCCTTTTTCATATACACAACAATTCCCTAGCTCACAAAGCCCCCAAACAAGTAAAAAACTAGAAATATGAAATATATAGGCAAGCAAATATGAAATATATAGGCAAGCAAATAGGGGTAAAACGTTGGAGACAGGTATTATCGATCGATTCCTGTTACGCTAATTTATCCTTTGGGTTTCAGGAACAGATCGAATAAAACCGCTGCCTCCAGTGTCTCAACCATCCCCACCACACACAAAGAAGCAAAAACTTAAAACCATAGAAAGCAATGGAGCTGATCTCAAAACACTCGCATATCAGCTCAGATTTTATATTTGGGTGAACCGATCAAAGAGAGATGAAAGCAAGGGGAAATTTTGGCAAAGCGTTAGGTTCTGTGGGTTATGGCTCACTAACGTATTTTCTGCTGCTAAATCTTTATACCTACGATCTTGATGAGTCAGGATATAAGAAAATCTTTGAACGAGAAACTTTGACCTTTGAATGGGAGGTAGGTGAGTTGGTGAATGGTCATGGACATAGGGTATACTGGGACCCACTATCATCTCTGTTCCAACTATTACCCGGGGTCCACTCGTGGGGAAGAAAAGGCAAATGGCAAGAACAGGGAACAAGTACTACATGAAAACTTAGTGTGGACCATATATTACACCTTGCAAAGGAAGTTACAGAGCTAAGATGGCAACTGCAGAAAATACATATATGTATATGTGAGTGTCTATGTATTGTATGCATAGCATATTCACAATTTTGCATCATTGCAAAGGGGTTTCTGTGGTTGAGATGGAACTTTGCCCGGGACCATTACAAACGTTGCATCTGCAGACTGGGCATACCCTGAAAGGAAAACTGGAGAATTGAAGTAAACGCAACTGGGTACATTTCCCGTGGAAAGCGGGCAGATAAAGAATCCAGTAGGGTAGTTAAAAAAAAAAAAAAAAAAAAAAAAAAAAAAAAAAAAAAAAAAAAAGAACCCTCAGCCATTTATCAATACATGTCATGTGATATTCATGATGACAAGGGAGAACCCTCAGTTTGTCGCCATCTTCATACTCAGCCAAACAGATGTAGCACCTGTTAAGGAATAAAAAGAAACAGCACCCATCAGTTGTGTCCCCAACTACCACGCATCGTTGGTCTCGCTATCATTCAAGCACATCGGGATCCGGAAAACATATAATTGCAGTTGTTTTGTTTTTTTTTTTTTTGCTGGTTTGTTAGTTCTCTGAATTTCACATCTAACTTGGCGAATGACAGAAAATTTTTAGTCATTGCCTCAAATGTAATAAGTGTTTTTAACAGTTAGTATGGTGATCCAACATTTTAACGGTGTTTTGGTTTTGATGAAAACAAATCAACGCTTTTTAGCAGTTATTAGAGAAAGTAAATGGCAACGACTAAGGTGTTTTGTTTTGATAATCAAGAATGGCATTGTTTAGCAGATGAAGAAGGCTTACTGCTGTGTATCACCCAACGCATTTTCAACGGGATCTAAAGTTTTGTGGTATTTGAGAGGAAATGCATCTACTGTAGCTTCTGGAGCTGGGAGCGAGAACGTTGATAGTGAGAAAGATTGTCTATGAATCTCGTCGATTACCTACAGAACATAAATAAAAGAAGGCGTGTGAATGTTTATACAACAGCTTTCCTTTCAAGAATATATACTCACTTCATAGAAAAGAGGAGAGAGGATAGGATCTTAGAGATAACCTCAAATAAGGCCTCGGCAAGCATGATTATTCGTGAAATACTTGCAAGGGTACTGAACTCTTCAGATGTGAAGAATGACTCGCACGAGCATGTACCATCAGGGTGGAGCCCGGATGGGCAAAATGATGGTTGTGAAACCCGATTTCTGTGCCCTCTGTGAACTCTTTCAGAGATCTATAGGCATATACAACAATTGTTAAATAACACCATAATCACTAACCATATGGAAATGCTATGAAGCATATAGAAGACAATCAATCATAAGTTATAGGAAAGAGTGAAGAAGATAAAGCACCTCTGATCTTGATGGCAATCGTCGTTCGTTTCTGTGATGACCTGTTTCTCCTAAGTAACTGGAACCATATCCAACTCCATCATAGTGGAGATCACCATTCAAATCAATAAGCCATCTGTCATGAGACCCTAGATCATCAGCATTTCCAGTGGCAAAAACAATTGTTGGGGAACCATTATGCCTCCTTAAACTGTGTCTCGATAAAGCATCCCAAAAGAGCCTCCTACTATTTCTTCTTGCGTCACGGTTATTTATATCAGCAACACTACTAGATAAGATGTTGGAAGAGATACTCACCACATCAACATGAAACAAATCTCTAATGCTTCGATCCTGATCCTGATCCTCATCATTGCCCGCCAAAAGAAATCTTGAACTAGAAGTTGTAGTTACTTGAGGGTTATCATCCCCAGGCAATGCAAGTCTTCTAGCCGACTCAAGGACTTCAGAAACGGGCCCGGAACTAGAGCTGGTGTCATCAGTTCCAGGATGTTCAAGAAAATCCCCTCCTTCTGGACATGAGTTCTGCACCTCCTGCACTACATTGCGTGAATTTTCACCATCCTTTTCAGAATTCTGGGTATCAATGTCTTCAACCACCATACTGACTGTTTCAATTTCTGAGATCAATTCACGAGAAGCCTGTTCACAGAATTGAAGCAACCACATCACTATCCCTCCAATAATGCTATATAACAAACCAGAGCAATATAATAGTATCTTACCAGATGGGCTATTGGCTGCTTATTCCTCAAACTTCGGGTCCTATGGCTGCTAGCTTCAACATTTGGTAAAGCATCACGAGATATGTCCTCTTTAAAGCTACTACTACTTTCTGATGAAGTTCCAGGTTCAAATTCGGAACTAGCATACCCAACTTCTGCACTAAATATTAAAGATTCTGTTACAGATTCTTTGAGAAATATCATTAATTGGAGCTTGATTTTCCAAGGAACTTATTAGTGAGTTTTGAAGATAATCTTCAAGCTGCATATGAAGAATGGCAAATCATAAAGTTCCAAAAAGAGAACCATAACATCATACGATCCATCAGATAAGAAGCAGCATGCTACAAACATTGTGATGCCATTTCATCACCAAGCTCTTTAATGAGCATTACCACATTCCAAAAGAAAGAAGACATTAACCTATGTGGCATTGCCATTAAAAAATAAAATTTAAAAAAAAAAAGTTACAGAAAACTACTTCTAGTAATTCAATGGAGAAAGACTGAATCATTCCAAAGCAGGATTTCAAGGTTTATGATGCAAAAGTTAAATTTTAAATTGCAAGGCAAGAATAATTGGATTCAGAAGAACTAAGGACTGTAGTTTCTTAAAATTAAATTCTATTTCTTATGGTAGAAAATGAAGAACATATTCTCAACCTCCTCAAACAGACTTTGTGTGTTTGACAAAAAACTTAAGATCCAAGCTTCCTTACATTGCAATTCCAATATTAATCTCATACCAATATCAATTACCAAGAGCACATTTAAGCTAACAATCCTACATTTGGGCATCAATTTGATACTTTATCCACTCATCCACTTTTCACATCCTTTGGTGGGTAATCAAAATTAAATTTTGGGCATACAATTTAACGTACAAAGATTAGGGTTTCCAATTAATTTCCTTAAAAGTTTGAATTAAATCAAATAGAACCCAATCACCAACAAAAAAAGAACAGATTTAGCTCCAGATCATTACAGTTGACTTTTGCTGGGCAAGAACAACGATTTCAAATTTAAATCTGCAAACCCGCCATCATCAATTAAACAATCAAAAAATTATCGCGAAACAGAAAAATCCAGGGGGAAAAAAAATGAAATCAACCCCTCAACAATCTTAATCATCCAAATTAAAATCAACCGTGTGGGTATCATTCGTAAGGATAGAAGAAACGATACCTCGAGGGTAGTCACCACAAAGAAGAGAAGACAGTATGTGCTTTGATGCCTTGGGTCTTGACTGAGAAGACCCGGAGCCAGATGATGATAAAGAACCCCCGATGCCTAAGCGACTGCTGCTAGAGCGCTGGTAAAGATGGAAAGTCCCAATCACAGTATTTTCGGGGAAATGGAAGACAGAGAGCGGGAGAGAGAGAAAGGCGCACAGACATGAATGGCGAAAGTCATCGCAATTCGCAACCCGATTTGTTTAGAGCATTGGTGGAGTTATTTTGCAGTCTCTAACGGGTTGTTTTGGTTGGACGTAATTAATTCCTACTTGAATTGTAATTCAACACAATCAACAATTACATTGTTTTTTTTTTAAAGTCAACCTGGAGGTTGTATTTATAGAAGTGGTAAAATAGAGTCTGGAGGGACATTGTCCTAGTACATAGCAGTATCAAGCGTAAAAGCTGTAGTAGCTAGAGTATGAGCTAATGAATTGTGTAATCTAGGAATGTAAATAATTGAGCAATAAGAAAAAGTAGATATATGAGTTCTGCAGTTGTCGATAGCATAACTCAGGTATGACCGTGGTGTTGTTGATGGTCCCGATAGATAGGACTGTAGCACTAGGCAATCCGTGAATACTTGTATAGATAGTTCATCCCGTCTCTTAAGCCATGATAAGACTTCTTTGCATGCAATAGCCTCAGCCGATAGCGGGGAGTGGCATCCAATCAATGGGGCGGTGAAAGCCGACAAATAATGGCCGTTGGCGTCGAGGAGGATCGCCCCAACAGCAGCGGCATTCGTTCCGTGGTGGTAGCTCGCGTCCATGTAGCATTTTACTGGTGATGTTGATGCACCATGGTGCGGGTCCAAGGCAGTGTGTGGCGGCGGTAAAATAGCGGCAGCCGGTCCAGCAGTAAGCGGCAGTGGTGGCTGGTCGGCAGTATGGGCAGTAGCGGCCGTACCTCGGCGTCGATCCGGCTGTGGCGCACGGTGGTGGACCAATTTACACGCCTTCATCGTGGACGTTGCAGTCAATAATAACTTGGTTGGCGTTGGTAGGCAGGCATCCCACACTGCTCCGTTTCGCGCTCTCCATAAATGATAAAGAATTGCAGCTGCATAGATAATTCCATCAAAGTCTAGAACATTCAAGATTGCACTAAACCATTCATGGAAAACATTTGTCATAATAATGGGGATTGGAAGGTTGGATTTAGCCCATATGGAGTGTGCATAGTCACACAAAACTAATGCATGCATGGTATCTTCATTCATTCTTCCACACATGGCACACATCGGGTTAACCTCCACTCTCTTTATAAGCAAGTTGTTGGTAGTAGGGAGGATATCACAAATAGCCCTCCATAAGAATGTCTTCCACTTGGGTGGGATTTTTAGTTTCCATAGGGTTAGCCATTCACTAAAAATCCCATTAGAATTGTTCTCATAGTTTCCAACTATTCGTTTATATCCACTTTTGACTGAATAATAACCATTAGGATCATCATACCAATACCATATATCTTCATACTCAGGGGCAACCGGTATTCTCTGAATTCTAGGTATATCATCTGGTTGGAAAATATCAGCTAGTATGTGCGGGTCCCATGTTTTTGTACCTTGATCAATTAATCCTATCACTTTGGCTCCAGACAGGTGTTGTGGCATTTCCGTATGAATCATAGGATCAATCACATCCTGTAACCAAGGGTGTTCCCATATCAAGGTAGATTCCCCGTTCCCAATTCGCCTTCGTATACCTCCACATATTAAATCTTTAGCTGCCATAATGCTCCGCCAGCAGAAACTTGGATTATTTTCTATAGTTGCCTCTAGGAAAGTATCCTTTGGGTAATATCTGGCCTTATAAACCCTGGCTACCAATGAGTCTGGGTTAGTGAGCAATCTCCACGCCTGTTTACCCAGCATTGCCAAATTAAATGCCCTTAAGTCTTTAAACCCCATGCCTCCATGTTTCTTTGGGACACACAATCTATCCCAGGCTTTCCAGTGTATGCCCCGCTCGGTTCCTGACCCCACCAGTACCGATTCATAACCCGCTCAATAGCTGTACAAGTAGATATAGGTAATAGGAAGACACTCATTGAAAAAGTTGGCATTGCCTGGGCCACACTTTTTAACAAGATCTCCTTTCCAGCCTGAGTTAACAATCTCTTATTCCAGGACCCAATCCTTTGCCTTATTTTATCCTCTATATATGCAAACGTCGCCTTTTTATTTCTGCCCACAAAGGAGGGTAGTCCTAGGTATTTCCCAAAGCTTGGAGCTTGGTTAACACCTAGTATTTGTGCTATCATACCCCTATCATTCTGCCCCGTATTCCTGCTATAGCATATGCTGGATTTATGATAATTTATCTTCTGGCCAGATAAACTCTCATATAGTAACAAACAATTTTTAATTTCAAATGCTTCCTGTGTATTTGCTCTGAAAAACAGTAGGCTATCATCTGCGAAAAATAAGTGAGAGATCGGAGGTGCCCCTCTAGCAACCCTGCATCCATGTATTAATCCACTATCCTGCGCTCGCTGCAATAGAACTGACAGCCCTTCTGCACAGATAATAAATAAATACGGGGATAATGGATCCCCTGGCGGAGACCACGCGTGGGTGTAATGGGAGAGCTACGAGAGTCATTAATCAAAAGATTATATGACACAGTAGTGACACATAACATAATCAATTCAACCCACCTACTATCAAAACCCAGGGCTAATAACATTTCACGGAGAAAGGGCCATTCCATGCGATCGTAGGCTTTGGCCATATCTAATTTAAGTGCTTCCCATCCTACAGCACCACATTGCTTCCTGTTCAAGAAATGCCCTACCTCAGCAGCTACAAGGATATTGTCAGTAATCAACCTGTCCAGAATAAATGCACTCTGTGAGCCAGATATTATCTTCTCCATTAATGGTTTCATTCTCTGTGTAATCATCTTCGCCATAATCCTGTAAATCACATTGCTCAGAGCTATAGGGCGAAAATCCGTTATCATTTCAGGGATTTTCTTCTTCGGAATGAGTACCGCATCCGTATCGTTCAGACCAGAGGGGAAGACACGATTATTGAGGCAGTTAAGAATAAATGTCGAAATATCACCTCCAACTATATCCCAAAAGTGCTGGTAAAATCCTGGGTTCATACCGTCCGGACCAGGTGCCTTGTCCGGGGCCATTGCAAACAGAGCCTCCTTAACATCAGCTAGCTCAAAGGGTCGTAATAAGGATTCATTCTGAGTACGGGTCACACGGGGGGTTATCCCAGAGAATAAAACATCACCATCCACAGGTCCACCAGAGGAAAATATATGGGTAAAATAATCCAAAATAATTGTATTCATAGCATTTCCTTCCAACCAATCCCCATTATCATTCATAAGCTTATAAATAGTATTTTTCTTCTTATGATGAGAGGCGTACCTGTGATAAAATCTTGTATTCGCGTCAGCATTCTTGAGCCAATGTTGCTTAGCTCTCTGTTTCCAGTAAACATCCTCCTGGGCCTCCATATTACACAGAAGTCCTTCCAGCCTTTGGAATTCAGCCAAAGAAGCAGAGTCAGTGTGACCCCTAAGACGCAGTTGCTGTTTCCGCAGGAGCATGATTTTCTCCCCAAACTTATGATACCGATCACCACCCCATCTGGTTAACCGGTTCCCACAATGCATTATACAGTCCTGGACCCCATCACGCCTTCCCTCCTCCCATGACTTTTCCACAACATTCCTGCACCCATCATCATATATCCAAGCCATCTCAAACCGAAAGCCCCTCCTCCCTCGCCCTCCTTCCTGGAACGTGTCATTAATACTCAAAAATAACGCGGAGTGATCCGATTTCCGCATCAGATTATTAACAACCCTGACCCCCAGCACAATCTCTCGCCAATCATCAGATGCCAGTACCTTATCCAACATTTCCTCAATACAAGTGGGTGTTCCTTTCCCTTTTTCCCAAGTAAAACGGTACCCCTCCATAGGCAATTGAGTCAAACCACATTGATCAATAGTCTCCCCAAACCCGCGTAGGAGATTATTGGGATGTGGATTGCCCCCCCCCCCCCCCTTATTCTCATGCTGAAACAACAGCTCGTTAAAATCCCCGATCATAACCCAAGGTAGGGTAGAGCGCTGCGCGAAGGATTTTATCAAGTCCCATGCCTCCGTGCGCCTATGTCGCTGGGGGTAGCCATAATAACACGTCATCCTCCATCTGGGAAAGCTGGGCATATTCACCTCAATATCAATATAGTTTTTAGAGTAACTCAAAAGACTTGCTGTATCATTCTTACGCCACAGTAGTGCTAGACCACCACCACCCTGCGGAGTCGGATTAACATAAAAAAGACCATCAAAACCAAGGGAGACACGAATCCTCTCAGCATGTATTCGTTCCACCATGGTTTCCATAAGAAAAATAAAATCAGGCTTCTTACGGGACGCTAGGTCCGTTAACTCACGAACTGTTCGTGGATTGCCCAAGCCACGACAGTTCCAGCTGATAGTACTCATAATGATGGGCGGGTCTGGGAACCAGTACCCGCCGCAGACATGTTTTTTTGGATCTCTGTCATAACAACATCCCCACCATTCTTCACACCGCTCACATCATTCATATTCAAATCCGCCCGCCTCCTCTTCGTTGCCGCCTCAACAACCACGCTCTCACCACAAACCCGTGTAGCGTCGGATGTTGCGTCACCATGGCTATCACCCCGCACACTCGGTATAGCATCCAATGGGGATCCCGCCATAGGCTTGCCGTTCATGTCCAGCAACCATGACGCACCCACTTTTCGTGGACCCTTCTTAAAACCCGCACGTAAGCCCTCACCATACGGATATTGCTCAATCGGAACACCTGCATCCCTTGCTCTCAGACAATACTTGTGTAGATGCCCCATCATACCGCAGAAGTAACAGAAATTATGCAGCCTTTCATACTTAAAGTTAACCCAACAAGTTGACTTATCCCTCTTCATGAACTTCATACGACGCTTCAGTGGTTTCAAAACTGAAATTGAAACCCTAATTCGATGGAATGTTTTCCATGGCGCATTCGCAAATCTGTCATCAATCTTAATAAACGTTCCAAGGAAGTTTCCAACCTGTTCCAGAATAATGTCAGAGGTGTAGCCCAGTGGTAAGTCATGTACCTGAATCCACATATCAACCGTATCCAGCGGTACCGTGCCCGGAATAACCCCATCCTGAACCTGTTTGCAAACAAGCGTGTGATTCTCAAAGGACCATGGCCTTCCCTCAAGAACCAATTGAATATCCGTTTCATGGAAGAACACAAACAAAAAAAGCCCCGGTTGCAACTCTGAAACCTGTACCCCCTTAACCGGCTGCCATACCGAAGCCATGACTTGGCTCATGAACTCCGCCTTTACGAGTTTAGTAGTCAAGAATCTGCCGACTAGCCGCCACGTTTGGACCGCCGCAGCAGGCTGCTCAACCTCCGCCGCACCGGGCGGTATGAAGACGTCGTCCTCCTCGTCGTCAAGGACGACGTCAGCCCACCTCCTGCCTAACACATTCACTGCCTCCGTCACCGACTCTTGCTCCATGCTCACGAACAGGGAAAACGACACCGGGAAGCTGCCGTAGAAAGCCGCCGAGAGACGCTGGAAACTCGATGAGAGTAGGGAAGGAGAAAACCCTAGCGAAACCCTAGAGAGGAAAAAAAAATAACAATTACATTGTTTAGTTGGAGGAAATTGCAATTTCTTTCAAATGCTGAATTGTAATTCATAACTCGTCCACTATGAATAATAATTTGACAAGTTAAAAGGAAAAGAAAAAATAAGTTAATGATCATTTTACCTTCACTCTTCTTTTGTCTTGTTAGTTGTCTTCTTTATTATCTAATCTAATCTAATATAATCTAATCTAACTTTATATTTAAAAATTAAAAGGAAGATTATCTATGTATAGTTGAATTATTTAAAGATTATTATAAAATAATTTTAATTTTAATATTTAAATAATAGCTTTTAGTGTTACAAATTTACATGACTTAAATCCACATATCTAAATCTAAAATTAAAACTAAATCAAGTAAGAAATGAAAAAATTGTAAAATATTTTTAATGTATACTACAGTTCAAATTTGAAAAAAAAAAACAATATTATAAGGAAATATGGTTATTTGTAGAATGTAAAAAATGAAGAAAATCTATGTTCTCTTTAATTTTCTATTTAATAGCTGCGTTTTTATATTACATATGTTATATGCATGAATATTGTTGGTAATTATGGAAAAATAGTATTAAGATTAGTGCTATTGTACAATTTCAGAATTTTTGTTTGTTAGTTTTTTTTCGCATTTTGAGAGTTCTTTCCACTTCACATGCCATCAAAAGTATAATTTCAATTTCCCCAACTATTTTTAAATGATTGTATCAACAACTTTTATAAATAAAACATGTAAACAAATACATAAGCAGTGTTTTGAATTTTTTAATGACCTAAATAATGATGACAACCTAATAAATTTAAAAAATTATAATATGTATACTATTCATTTGCAGGTGTACATGAGAGTGCTGCATTTACACTCTCTCAATACACAGACCAAAAACGAAGATACATAGGAATCCAAATTGGTCCAGATATAGTACACAAATGGAAAGTAAAGAAGATGAGTATTGCAAACCAAAAAAGTAAGTTAGCATTTATTACAATTTTAATGAAGAACAACATGTATGTTTCATTTTTACCTTTATCTTCAACATCAAGCTTTGTATTTTGTTTCTCACTTCTCAAATTGCAGTCCACACTTACCATCCACATTAGTATGCAGTCGTAACTTATGATTTGGACTGAAAAATCTAATATTTACACCATTTGCATGCAAGTTTTCTAAAAAAAATTCACAATATTAGACATTAATAGACAAAATCAGTATAAGTAGTTAACTATATATATATATATATATATATATATATATATATATATATATATATATATATATATATATATATATATATATATAAACTAATCAAGATACTTAAATCTTATATTTTTTAAATTTAATTACATTTTAACATAGGCCTGAATCCAACAAAAAAACTTTTGACAGGTTTAAAAATCAACTTCATATTTTTTTAGCACTAAAACACACTGGTATATATCACTATATATGTAAGTTAAAAAAGTCAATTTTAAGTAAAAATTAAATCACACAAGAAGGAAAAAAAAGAAGCTAGAATGCTAAGAAAGATAAAAACAGTTTGGATAAATAATTGTAATGGGCCATAAATAATCAATAATGACACTAAATATGAATTTAAGAAAATGGAAAGAAAAGAACTAACATGCTAACCTTTTGCTTGATTATGATTGGTTTCATCTTGGAACAATCGTTATACCATACACCACGTTGCACGTAGGTCTATGCGCCTATGTGCTAAACGGTGGCATTTTAATATTACTCCGTTAGTGGACATTTGACGGGACGGACGCCTCTCCATCCGTCCAATCGCATTAAAATATATATATATATATATATATATATATATATATATATATATATATATATATATATATATATATATATATATATATATATATATATATATATATATATATATATATATATATATATATATATATATATATATATCAAACCTTTCTTCTTCACGAAGTCTTTCCATTACCACTCCCTGCAATTCAAAAACGATCACAATTTTTTCCGCGAACTACGCCAAAAACCGCAAATACTTCACCACATTCTTCTGCAAAAGGGCATACAACATCGCAAAGATACAAGTAAGCATAACTACTATTACTTCTCATTCCAAACATTCATGCTATTACTTCATTGTGTTAATACAGCAACGATACCTAGGGTTACATATTACTTGGACTTGTGTATATTCTGGTATAAGATTATGTACATTACTGTTTTCAGGTCCTATGCCTTATCATTGATAACCGCTATTTTTATACTCCACATTATGTGTATTCCTGATATATGTTATGTGTATTCATGGTATATGTTATGTGTATTCATTCATTATATTATGTACATTGGTGTTCTCAGTTGCTATACCTCATCATAGATAGTCATTATTCTTCTATTCCAAAATTATGTGTATCCTGGTTATATGTTATGTGTATTTCTTCATAGCATTATGTACATTACACATTTGCATCCCTGCAAACTTCTCAATCCCAGTATATTGTCTCTCTGGTGTTAATATTAGTGTTACCTAATACTTAAAACTGTTATTATGTGTATTATGTTATTATGTTAACTAGGGTTACATATTACTTATACTTGTGTTTATTATGATATAATATTAAGTACATTAATGTTCTCAGTTCCTATACCTCATCATAGATAACCATTTTTCTTATATTCAACATTATGTGTATCCTAGTTATATATTATGTGTATTCATTCATTAGATTATGTATATTGTATATTTGCACCCCTGTAAAATTCTCAATCGCAATCTACTGCCTGTTTGGTGTTAATATTAGTGTTACGTATTCCTTATATTTGTATTTATGTGTATTGTGTTGTTACAGATATGTCACCCCTACACCCACTAATCCCCGGAGATCTCCCAGAAAAAGGAATGTTGCACCTACATCAACACCTACAACCACGTCTGATCCTACACTACTACAAATTGCCAGAGAGGGTAAACGAAAGAAAAATATCGCTGCTTCGTCAAAGGGTGCTGAAACATGTTATGAACCACCAAATGTTGAAACCAGTACAGATGCCGGTGATGGCCCCAAACAGCCTGCTGCCAAAAAACAAAAGAAAACCCATGCCAATGCAGCTGCTGAACCTGCCAAAGCCCCAAAGAGCATAAGAAGTAATGAAAAACAGAAGAGGAGAAAACCAAGAAACAATGATTATTTATCTGTACGGACCTCCCCAAAGCAGCTCTGTGCACTCGTCAGTAGTCTGAGCCCAAAACAACACCAAGCTGTTCGAGATATGGGATTTGAATCCCTTTTAAATGCAACACTGTCCTTGTGTGATTGTGAACTTCTGAGATACCTTCTAGAGCGCTTTGATGTTGGTAGATGCTCAATACATCTGGAAGAGGAGGAGCTCCTTCTAGGAGATGATGATGTACATAAAACACTTGGCATCCCCAGAGGCCAACAGACTGGTATACATGGAGGCTGAAATAACAAGCAAGGACCCACAGTTCACTCGCTTGGTTGCACTTTGGAGACAACGATGGGGAGTGAAGACAGGCACACCAACTACAAGCCAGATGCTGAATGGCACTATTGAGAGGCGTGATCATGGAGACATGTTCAAACGTGACTTCATAATCTATGTTGTTTCCACATTGATAAGAGGCTTCAAGAACATGTTCTGCAACTACAGGCTCCTGTATTCACTGCAACATGTCAGCAAGATCCAAGACTTCAACCGGTGTGCTTACACGATACGATCTCTTGTTGAAACCACCACAACATAGAGGGGCAAACGTGATGCAGCCTTCACTGGTCCTGCAACTTTCTTGATAGTATGCACTCTGTATATTGACCTATAACCTTATGTGTATTCATGATATACATTATGTACATTGTAGACTATAATTATGTACATCTTTTAATAACTTTATGTGTATCCTACTCTGCCAACCTAAACATAAACTGATACTGATTTTGAATGGTATATCTTTTTTTTTTTTTTTTTGTTTCTCTATTTGAAGCTGGCATACCTAGACAAAGTGCATGTTAGAGGAGAAATAGTCAGAAAGAGAATTCCCACCATCACTTCATGGACTTCAAGTGATTTGAGGGCAAAGGTCAAGGTTCAAAAGAAACATAGGCGGCTTTGGAAAGGGCAAAGTCGTTGAATATATCCCAGATGCATATCAGCCACCACCTCCTCAACTGCCACCGCCCCGTGAACTGCCACAAGGTCAGGAAGTTGAAAAGGTCACCACCGCATTGAAAAAGATGACCATGAGCATTATGGAGTTCGGTGAGGTCATGGCAGGTGTTGGGGCAAAAACCTCTGTTGTTGAGATTATAAAAAATGTGTTCAGCAACTTATCCGCCACTGCCAACCTCACCCCAAGCCCGAATCCAACCCCACCAGAAAGCTTACTGCGAGATGATGATATCTACAACCAACCCAGTTTCTTGGATGCGGTTGCTGAACTTGAAGCTGCATTCCTGGCAACATTGAAGAACATGACAACTGCTGACATACCTGCACCAACTTTTAATCTCCTGACGCCAACTAGCCGTGACGCTACTCCCGAAGAGGCCCCAAGAAATGCAACTCCACCTGAAACAACACCACCTCTGCCCGAACCCACATCTGAACCCCAAGCAGCAACTCTATCAGCATCACCCACCACACCACCACCACAAACAACCGAAGGAAATACAGCAGCAGTAGCACTTACCCCAATTGCAACACTCTTGGAGCATATCGTTGATGACATAGCTGATGGTTCACCCCAATCACTACCAGCAACTGAACAGAAAACTCCAGAATAAATTGAATTTGATAGGTAAAACTCACATATCACTTAACAATATCCTTATGTGCATTTATCGTTGTTAATTATTTAATCATGTTGTTATGCCTACTGCTTAACACGTTAAAACATGTTCCTAATTACTTTTCTGTCTCTACAAAGCATCATTGCTGAATCTGAAGATGATGTTGAAGATGTCAATGTCCGGAAGAGGCCACAACGAAAGTTCAAAAACCTCCCTCTGGCTTGTCGATCCCCGTACTGGACAAGCAACATTTCAAAGCTCAAGAATGTTTCCGCCAGGGAAAAACTGATCTCAGACTATGCATTCCTGCCATCAGATGAAACTGAGTACCCTTCTTAGTATGTATTTCATTTATAACTTGTTATAACAGCTGCTTTCAGTTGATATACCACATTATGTGTATTCATGATATTTGTTATGTGTATTCATTCATAATATTATGTAGAGTAAATACCACCTATGGTCCCTCGAGTTTGGTGGCATCGCCATCAATAGTCCCTAACTTCCGTAATTACCATCTGTCATCCTCCGAGTTGTGAAAAGTTACCTTCTAGCGTCCTTCCGTTACTTCCTCCCGTCTTAGCCGTCAAAATGGAGGGTAATATTGTCATTTGACTTATACGAAAAGAGTTAATACCAGCCATGGTCCCTCGAGTTTGGTGGTTTGGCCATCTTTAGTTCCAAACTTGGCCAAACAATATTAAAGAAAGTTGGTGATTTCTCAACTTCCAACTCGAACTCCCTCTACTCCTATACAATATTCACTACTACAGAAAACGGATTTAACGTCACCATTATAACGTCGATTTTTAGAAAATCCGACGTTAAATATTTAAAAAAAATTATTTTTTAAAAAATACATATGACTTCGGTTATTTGGTATAGTCGATGCCGTAAGTCAAATAAAAAAATAAAAATAAAAATAAGAGATACGACGTCGGCGTATTATTGTGTATATTTCGAAATTTTAGGAATAATCGTGTATATATTTTTAATTTTATAAGTTATTGGGTAAATTATGAATTGTTGTGTGTATATGTTTAGGGTTTACTCTTTACATTAAAATAAATTTAAAATAATAAGAAATATACAAAATTATTTCTAAATTTCAAAATATATTTTTTAGTAGTAATATAATTAGTCCAACGTATTTTTTTTTTATGTTTAGTAGCTTGAATTAGCTTAATGAATTGTGTTCATTATATTAGTTTCATGTTTAATAGTTTGTGAATTAGTTTAATGAATTAGTTGATGTTGAATGTTAAATTGCTAGCTGCGCAGGATCTGAAAATTGATACAGGTTGGGGTAGAAACCATAAAACAAAAATAAAAATAAAAAATAAAAAAAATTACATACGACGTCAGCTTTTATGGTAAAGCCGACGTCGTATAGTTTTTAAAAATTTAATTACTAAACTTGGGACTAAAGATGGCCAAACCACCAAACTCGATGGACCTTGGCTAGTATTAACTCTTTTCGTATAAGTCAAATGACAGTATTACCCTCCATTTTGACGGCTGAAACGGGAGGAAGTAACGGAAGGACGCTAGAGGGTAACTTTTCACAACTCGGAGGATGACGGATGGTAATTACGGTAGTTAGGGACCATTGATGGCGATGCCACCAAACTCGAGGGACCATAGGTGGTATTTACTCTATTATGTACATTGGTGTTCTCAGTTGATATACCACATTATATGTATTCCTGATATATGTTATGTGTATTCATGGTATATGTTATGTGTATTCATTCATGATATTATGTACATTGGTGTATCCTGGTTATATGTTATGTGTATTACTTCATGACATTATATTACTTTAAATTGTGAAATGTTTATTTTGTAATATCAACTTGTTTTGTTTGTTTCCAGTGAAATGTTGTTTTCTGCCCATGATCTGTTTGCAACGAGGGAGGACATTGCAACATTGGCAAATGGACAACTAGCTACAAATATCCTGCAAATCTGGGCACACAGATTGACGGTGCTTGATATGAAAAGATCAATTGATCAACCAAAAAGGATCTTCTTCTCGGAAGCTGCTTACGTAAGTACACATCTAGAACTAACGCATTTTTTAAAACAATGTACTATATGACACACAACCTCTTCTTTACAAATGACGCTTGAAAATGTTGAAATAAAAGCAAGGAATATGGATATTGGTGACTTCTGTGCAAATATTGACTACCAGTTGAGGGGGACTGCAATTGATATCACAGATGCAAGTCTTGTAAGTAAAACAATATATATATATATATATATATATATATATATATATATATATATATATATATATATATGAATTCTAAGATTATTGAATTTATGTCTATATTTGACACAGTTTGTTAAATACCTTTTAATTATTCATTTCAGGTTTTCTTTACAATCTTGAGGCACAATCACTACTACTTGATGTGCTTTAACATCCCCAAGTCAAAACTTCAGATCATTGATAACAAGCTAATGCCCAAGGGAATACCAAATACGAACAGATATGAGAACTGCCCGGCTAAGTTGGTAAGATAAACTAATACTCCTATTAAATATCTATACCCTATAGTTTAATATTTACATTACTTAAATTAATTAAACACTGCAATTAGGGGTGTGCAAATTTCGGAGAAATTTCGGTTAACCGACCGAACCGACGAAATTCGGTTAACCGTTTTCGAACCGAAATATTTCGGTTCGGTTAATGGTTAAAGGTTTTCTTAAAATTCGGTTAACGGTTAATTCGGTTCGAAAGTGTCGGTTAACCGAATTAACCGAACGGTTAACCGAATTTTAGAATATATATATAATATATAATATATTAAATATTAAATATATAATTACTAAAATAAAAAATAGTCAAAATGTCAAATAGAATACATAATAATATGAATTTATTATGATATGTATTTTATTTTAATTGGAATTATTATTTTAGGAATTATTTTATGGATTTTAAATTTTAGGGTTAAAAATTTCGGTTAATCGGTTAACCGACCGATTAACCGAAAAAAAGTTCGGTTCGGTCAATTCGGTAGAGTAAATTTCGGTTCGGTTAACGGTTAAAGCAAAAAAAAGTTCGGTTAATTCGGTTCGGTTAAAACGGTTCGGTTAACCGAACGGTTAACCGAATGAACACCCCTAACTGCAATTACTATAATGTGCAGAAAACAGCTTTCTACAAATACCTCCAATCGAAGAAAAACTCCCTTGCAAGAAAAGTGAAGAATATCGAAGCTGAGTGCATTCACATGCCATGGCAAGATGAAGAGAACACAACAGATTGTGGTGTGTATTACATGCGCCACATGGAAACTTACAAAGGGACTGCAGTAGACAAGTGGGAAACTGGTTTAGTAAGGGGTGATAGTGATGTAAGTAATAATCAACTTTGTTCTACATTACACATGGTATCTCTTGTTTCTTCTAATTTTAACATGTATCTTTTGTTTACTGTAGGCTGCTTTCATTACATCGCTTAGAGCAAAATATGCAGCAAACATCATCATGTGGAAGAAAAACGAATACATGGAAACAGTCATGCAATCAGCAAGGGACAACTACAAGAAAGAGAAGTGAAACTACTAACCACAATCTGTAAAAATCAGTTCTGCTAATCCAAACACATGGTTACTTGTATTTTTGGTTCAATTTCTAGAAGTTTCAGTTGATAAACAATTATCAGAAATTTGTATATGCTCCTTTTGGTAATCCAATCTAATGTTTACTTGTATTCTATATTTTTCATATTCCCCAATATGGTTTTGTGCATAATCAATGCATATACTACACAAACTATGAACTATCAAAAATTGTACATAATCATATGAAGTAATACACATAACCCATATAATGAATACACATAAACTTTCAAACAGTGCACATACTACTAAAAAAAGTCTAACAAATATTTTATTTCTGCTAATATATACAATCAAACATCCTACTGAATGTAAACATGTACATAATACACATATGACCAAGCATATCATTTTCCTATATTGATAACTGCAAATCTAAAAATGAAATATACATAAATAAATAAAAGTAATTAACACAAATAAAAATGTACATAATCATATGAAGTAATACACATAAAGTATATAAGGAATACACATAAAGTATATAATTAATACACATAAACTTTTAAAACAGCACATATCATAATAAAAGTCTATTTTATTACTGCTGAGTTATGTGATTTAACATCGTTCTGTACGTGATACATATTACTACAATGATTAACACTAACATGTGCTTTAATTATCATCCATGCTTGACATTGTGCTAACGTGACAAAAACTAGAACCTCCGGAACTTGGGTGTACAAGATATCCATCGCCTGCAATATTTAAAATATCACCCTCAACTTGAGACTGAACAGCAGATTTTATTTTGGAAGCAACCATATTTGCAAGATGCTTCCGTCCCCTTGCTTTGTTATATTTCTTTGAAATAACGCTGGTCACCCTCCTATTCCGCAACCCTTTCATCCGCCTAGTAGATGGATCCTTTATAACACCACTTGTCGATCCTATGACACAATCTTCAAATAAACTGCCACCACATTCAGCTTCAAGTCTTTTCTTTGCATCTGCAATTGCTTCTTCACAAATCTTCCATCCTTCGATATTTTCCTGACTATAAACAGCAAGCCTCTGAAATTTCCTAATGATTTCTAATAACCAAACAGAAGATGCACCATTACCACTATCAACTCTAGACATTATATCAACATTATCAACTTCAACAACTTTTTTAGTCCACCTCTTCAAAATATACTTCTCGGGGACTTCAGAAACACAATGCACATTTAGAATGCGTAAACAATGACAACACAAAATCCCCAATTCAGTAAACAACTTGCAACTACATCCAATGTCCATTTGTCTACTGTTAAACACCACTTCATGCCTAATAATATCAACATCAGGCCTCCAGACATGATACTTATACACACCATCTTCCAACATCACACACTCTTGATAGCATGATCCACCTTTCAAAAATTGTTCTTCAAACAAATAGTATATCTCAATTGTATAAATTTTCCTAGCATGCAACAGAATCTTAACATTATCCATCACCATTGTGGGTACACCTTGTGAACACCGAACATCTTCCCCATTCTCTCTACTTCTCCACTCTGATATGACCCCAACAAATGAGTTATAAAGATCACACAAACCAGATGTCTTGGACAACCTTCTAGAAATAGAGTGATTAGTGGTCTCACTCCTTTCAGAAGATAAAATCCCACCCGAAAAATAATCTTTACTAAAAGCAGGACACCATTTTTCTCTACACCCATACAACTTTTCAATCCAGTGATTATTGTGACATTTATATGTTGTAACCATCCTGAAATAACATGCCATAGATATATTAAAGTAAACCTACAAGCATGTCAGTATATAACATACAGAACAGACTAATGTACATAATCTTATACATGAATACACATAAACTATCAAACAGATACACATAAACTTGATCCAGAAAAATAATTATGTATTCTGTATAATATAATCTACAACTATTCATTCAATGATAATCCATATGTAAACTAATAAAAAAAATAACGAAGCATACATCAGACACGTACCTCGTCCAGTAAAATTCAAACTCTGCCTCTGTATCCGTATACTTCAACAAGCAATTGAATATATCTAGGAAATCTTTTTGATTTCTTAACCCTTTAATGTGTTTCTTTGAGTTCTCGCCAATATGCCATATACATAGCCGATGTCGTGAACTTGGAAAAACTTGAACAATTGCAGCAGCCATAGCAGCACATTGATCAGTCATTATGCTTTGTGGACTTTTGTAATCCATAGATCTCAAAAATGTCTTAAACAACCATACAAATGACTCAATCTTCTCATTCATCAAAAAACCGCATCCAAACATAACATTCATGCAATGGTTATTCATACCAACAAAAGGTCCACAAATCATGTCATATTTGTTAGTACGATATGTTGTATCGTGAACTAGCAAATCCCCGAACAAATCATAGTCTCTCCTCATCCGTCCATCCCTCCAAAAAAAACTACACAACCTTGACTCCAAATCCACCTCAAAATCAAAGTAAAAATCTATTTCACTTGACTGCCTCCGTTTGAATATTTCAATCAATGTGTTTGAATCGGTACCATCCAATCTGTTCAATGCATCGGTACATAGAGAGTTATATGCATCCCTACTTGTAAACCCAACAAGTGGTGATCCCCCTGATTGTGTTTTAAGGAATCTTAAACCATCTGCAACAGACACACCACTGCTCTTCAAATCAGTAAGATATGATATATGATATGTGACCTTAGAAGGTAACTCTTGCTTGGCGGAACCAATTCATGATTATGCAACTTCTCATGCTTCGAAACAATCCACATCCCATTCTCATGTAAATCGAATTGGACAAATGCACCACAACCTATACGACCATCAATTTTAGAATAACACCCTTTTCCTGTACTCCTTTTAAATCCATCCTTCGAACAATGGAACATCTTCGTCTTCATTGTTTTTGTAGTAGAATTATATCTTTGCTTACCCCTCCTCACGCTAAAACCTACTCTAAATGCATAATCATTATACATGTCATATGCTTCATCAACCGAACACACTGACATCCCTACCAAATCCTGATCAGCTGCAAATCACATACAGTTTAACTACCCATACTATTAATGTACATAATCCATATCTACAATAAACATAAACATATGGCACAATACACATAATCATTAAAATACATAAAACCTATATCCCATACTGTTAATGTACATAATCCATAACTACAATACACATACACATATGACACAATACACATAATCATAAAACCAAACAAATCAAACCATATAATACACGTACAACCTCACTAAAACAACAACTTCAAATCAAACCATACTAACATCCAAAACAACCACAATCAAACAGCAATTCTATATCAATTCTTATATAATTCAACGGCGAGTTCAATATATTCATCATACATCAAACACAAATACAAAATAAAATCTTAAAAATCAAATACCTGGATTAGCATCCTCTGTATCTACCACTCCAACAGGATCAGGTGTATGTTCTGTCTCCGCCACATCCTGCTGCGCAATCGAATCAGACATGGCTTCCATCCAACAATTGCAGAATACGACGCAAATCGAACAATCAGATCGCTCTCGTGTTCTCTAATCCAATATGCATGATCGGCGCGACGACACCATCTCTTTAGAGCCGCTCTCTCACTTCCCTCTTCTTACCGTTTGACGGCGTTAACAGACTAATAAAAAAAAGTCCGTTACATAACAATTCCATACGGCTTCGTTTTGATGCTGGGCGTACATAGCTCTATACACCGGGGTGTATGGTATAGATTGCCATCTTAGAGCTTTAGAAGTCTAGCTTTTGGAATTTTGGTGTAAGTTTAAAATCCTCCATTTAAGCCTTATATCTAATATAGTGTTATTATCTATCAAAAAAAGTAGTGCCATTTATTGCTCTAACCTACTCCTTAATTGATTTTTATGGTGGTGTGGGTGTTAAGTGCTCAACTCTTTACATGTGATTTTTTTTTTTTTTTTTTGCTTCAATGTTAATTTTTTAAGTGGTTCAGCCTAGCGATGAGTGAATTATTTCATCTATTATGATAAGGGCATAATCTTCTAATTGCTGCATCTTATTAGTTTTTTAGAAAATTAATTATAATTCTCAAGAAATAGTCTATATTATTTTTGGGAAGATGACTTCCAAGGTAAGGAACTTCAAAATCTTGCACCAACTATTGATAAAAGAATCTTATGCCTTTTTTTTTTTTCCTGATTAAAGTGTTCTAATTAATTTTAAACCTTTATTTTTTACTTTTTGTTTCTGATTCAACATAGATAAGAGGATTGAGAAAAGTTTACCATCCTTTCAACAGCCTGAACTACCTGCAGATTGCTGAAGCTGCATACTGTGGAGGGAGGAGGGTAACCTTGGGGCGGGTAAACGGTTGAAGATAAGCATCCTTGGAAGGTGAATACTCTATTCCAGAAACTCAAAAGTTCATCAGATCCGTTCCCAAAAATTGGCAAAAGATGATTCAATCGAAGAAGATAACTGAAAAAAGCTTACCTTGAGGATGCGGCACATCGACGGGAGGCTGAAACTTGTAGTTCAGCACACAACGCGAAGCTGCGCACCAACAATCCCGGGGACATCTTCTTCGTTGATCCCATAAATATGAAATTTCTTTTTTGTACAACTTGTATTTGATTTGAAGCTGAAGTCTCTAAACATGTATCTTCTATATATAAGCGTGCAAGTGAGGTAGTGAATTGAATAGGCTACTCCTCTACAAATGGAAGTGGATACCAAGTACCAACTCTGCAAAAGCGCATTAGGCCACTCCCCTACAAATATAGCCTGACACCTACTACCTGATTGGTCAAACACTTTACAAATATATATATATATATATATATATATATATATATATATATATATATATATATATATATATAATTAATTAATTAATTTCACTTTTGGTCCCACGACTTTTGAGTTCGTATCACTTTTGGTGCACAACTTTAATATTTTACAATTTTGGTTCATAACTTTGTTATTTTTATCAGTTTTGGTCCTTCCAGCCAAATTGACGGTAAAATATTTCCAGATTTTATATTTTAGGGGCAAAATTGTCATATCATGGAAAGATCTTCAATATTTAAACAAAAGAAAAATCATATTAAGAAGAAAAAAAGAGATTGCCAATGGTCGAAACTATAAATCTCATAGATCTGTCTGGTTTCTGCCCGTTTTCCCCATTATTCTCATCGATCAAACACCTATAGATATGATTTTACAGTGATTTTGTTTAGATATTGAAGATGTTTCCTTGTGATGACAATTTTACCCCTAAAAATATAAAATCCAGCAACATTTCGCTATCAATTTGGCCGAAAGGACCAAAACTGATAAAAATAACAATTATTATTATTTCCAAAATTTATTATTATTATTATTATTACTATTATTATTAGTACATAAGGGCATTTCAGTCATTGTATCACTTATTCCCTTTCAATTTCATGCCTTATTACTGCATACCAAACCACTGTAATTAATTTGAATTCCTACTTTATTCTCACCTGCATACCAAACACTGTAATTTGAATTCGTATTTTATTCCCACTTTATTCTTTTCCCACCGAATTACAATTCATTTCCCCCCTAATTTCTTACTTTCAACCAAACACCCTCTAAAGAGTTTTTGTAAGTATAATTAGGAAAGAGAGGATGTGGCGGTGATAATGTGGGAATTATGCTAAAGTTGGCAGATTCTTTGTATGCACTGGCATTTGGTCCTATCTACTGAATCATTGAGTCGTCGTGATTTACATCCTCCCACATGTTCTGTCAGGTCAGAATGTGGGGCCCTAAGGGTTGGGGATTCAACTTTCAGGAGAAAGAAAGAGAAGATGTGAGGAGAGAGTAAAAAGAAAAAGAAAAATTAAAATTGATTTAAAAAAATAAATAATATTTAATGTATCTGTCAGCGCACCGACAAGCACACGCGCGCCGGACATGGTAGTTGTTGTGCGCAAAACGCGCGCAACAACTGCTCTTTTTTCATTTCTCTTGGGAAGTGAAATAACTCACCTCTTGCAGAAGAGGCTCCCCTTCGGCCTTTTCCCTCTCTTGTATCTTTCTCTGCCAAATGAATAACCGCCACCTCATGATGAATTAGGCAGAGAAGAAGGGTTTTTCTACGGTAACTGCTAAACGGCTTCGTACACTGCGTATCGAAACCCACGCGTTGGCACACAGTCTAATAGATCAACATTGATTTTTTATGAAAGTGAGGTAAGCGTTTCTATCCCTTTTAATGCATACATATATATGATCGATTTTAATTTGCAAATAAAAGGCATATATATATATATATATATATATATATATATATCAATTGTTGAAGATGATGCTAATACATTACCTGTACATGCCAATATCTTGATTATTTTTGCTATGGTCCTATACGGTGTTAATTACATACATACATACTATGAATCCCTTGAAATTTATATAATACTTTTTGGGACAAGCTTGTTGTTGTGGAATTGTAAGCGCTTAGACTGACCTACAAATCTTCCAGGTTTCATCCTCTCACCTTATTATGCACTTCAATTTCCCAAAGATGAATTAGCTTATTTGTTTTGATTGTTGAAATTGGACTTTTAAGAAAGTATGCAGAGATTGCGAGATGTTGATTATTGAGCTTCTGTGTGAGAATAGAATATAATTAAAATTAGAAACGAAGTGGAAAATATTGCAATTTGTATACTTATGCAGCTTGAATGCAAATCTATACTGTGAAATTTGTGTAGCCTATGGAGTGAACTAGTTTGGCTTTAGTTCTATATAATATGCATTCTAAGTTCAAAAAGTTATACAAGGCTCCTGCATCATGCAGTTTTCATGACTTCAAAAATGAATAATTATGCAATCTTTTTACCAAAAAAAAAAAAACTGAAATTTTCCTAAGTGCTTATATGATTAAATAATTTACATATACAAAAAGTTAAGCACGTGTATTCGGCCTATGAATGTATGTTTGGCTGAGGGGTAGATTTTCCTTATCTACAATCGACGTTCGATCTCGGTACCCCGCTGCATAAAGCACTACAATTGGTTTTTCAATGGCAAGTGCCGGTCGTCGAGTGGCTGAGCGCTGGTTCGAATCCAGCTCGTGACAAGACCTTTTTGATTTTTGCCTAAGTTATTTCAATCTTTATCTTCTTATCCCAAATTGGCATAGGATTCTTCCATTTCGCCGATTCTTACTAAATAACGAGCTAGCTCCCTTCTTTTTTTGAGGTGTGAAGCAGTGTCAAACCAAAACAACCTCGCGACTCTAATAGAAATAAACGGTAAGCTCTCTGCGGCCCCCTATTGTTTGATCAAATATTGACCGGGGACGAGCCTCCGGCCAGGATGATTGAAAAAGATTCAACCAATTTGATTTCGAGGAAAGAGCATAGGATCAGATGTACTTACTATTTTACGTGTAAAGTAAAAGATTACCAATCCCACTTTTTTGGGCAGAAAACCTCGCCCCAACTTTTTGTAAGCTAAAGGGTTAAAGCCTAATTCCTATCGAGCTTGCATATTCGGCCTATGAATGTATGTTTGGCTGAGGGGTAGATTTTCCTTATCTACAATCTACATATATATATATATATATATATATATATATATATATATATATATATATATAGAGAGAGAGAGAGAGAGAGAGAGAGAGAGAGAGAAAATTACACTTTTGGTCCTATGACTATAAATGATGTGTTAATTTCGGTACGTGACTTTTAAAATTAACAATTTAGTCCTTTAACTATGTTTTTTTAGCATATTTGGTCCACTCGACCAAATCACCGGCGAAATGTTGTCATTGAAAAAGGCTTGATTCAAGCTCGAGCGAAAATTGGCTGGCCTTGCGGGCTAAGACTTGAAAGGGCCCAATAGCCGAAACTGGCCCAGTTTCGGCCTACACGAACCTGTGTAGTTTTGTGACCGTTGGCTCTTCAATTCTACTGTTACGGAATTAATTTTTGAATTAATTCCAATTTTTTAATTTTGAATTGAATGCCATGATAATGGTGCTGTTACAAGGTGTAGTGGGGGGGGGGGGGGGGTGTGCCTTAAAGTGCCTCATTAAAAGCTATTGGCTCCTTCACCCCTATATAAGAGAGGTAGTGAGAAGCAGATTTTATATACAATACAGCACTACCACTGTACACGAAACATTGTTTTCCAGCCTCAAAATTCTGCTTCTACTTCTTTTCTTTGCCTACTGTGTTCATAGTCTGTCTTGCTCGCCGGATTCCTTGTTTGAGTGCTCAAACATTGAATCACTAGCAAGTTTTATCCTAGGAAGCCTAGGCCACAACGCTCCTAGCATCTTTGGGAGGTGACAAATAAGGTTTTAAGGAAAGAGTGCTCACTCGACTCTTGCAAATACCCAACACCAAACACTAGCCTTTTTTCTTCATCTTTTCTTCCCTTCTTTCCAGAAAATAATAGTCAATTTTTTATTTGATTATTATTTATTTTCTACCAACGGTTCCTACACCAACCACCGCAATCA